AGCTGTAGTTACAACAGTACAGTCCTGTGTAATTTATCAGCAAGATACCAGCATACTTGACAAAGCTAAAAGGAAGCTATTATGTACAGCACACAACTGAAAATTAGGAAATATTCCCCCTAAAACAATAAGAAATATCTGATAAAGAATAATGCAGAACTTTCCTAGCACAACTCAAGATCCCCCCTCAAGACTGGTAATTTATGAGCCATTGAACAAATCGCAATACCGATACTGCGCCTATGCAAATCTCAAACAATAAGTGACTCCAAGGACCTGTAAGAACAAAGCCCCAAACCCCTATCAAGCATTATCTGTGGTATGAAAAATTCAAGGAAAAGTGTAATTTTTTTTTTTTTTTTTTTTAAATGGGGATAAATTGGGATTTCTGTAACAACCGACTCATTTTTCCTGCTTTTAGCTAAGGATCTCAAAGAGCACTCTAAGTGTTAATTAAATTACAAAGCATTCTTGAGACAGGTAAATGGTATTATGCCCACTGGGGAACCAAAAGAACATTTATGTTTCATTACTAAAGTCACAGAGTAATTCAGTGGCTAGTGATAGAACCCAAGAATTATCAGTCACCGCTGCTACTCATTGATCTGATGGCCTCAAAGGAGACATAGTTAGACTTTAAATAAAATAAATAAATAAATAAGATACTTTCCTCCTGAGCTTTTCTATCTGCCAAAATTAGGAATTAATTATATTTTTCTGCTTTCTGAAAGGCCTTCCTGTCAGAGCCACACTAGTCTACCCAAGTGTGTTAAAGATCACAAAACAGCAATACAGACAGGAACCAAAGCAAGGACAGGGAATTGTAATCATCCTGCTTAACAGCTCATGCAGCTGCACCAGGACCATCTTCTCCCTCTTCCTAGCCAGTCATTCTCCCAGAGACAACACATAAGAGCCTCCATCCCAGCAGAACAAAGATGGAAAGATGTGCACATGAAATAATCCCTCACTGGCCAGTTCACTCACTTCTAATGCTACTTTAGTAAAGAAACAGGCACAAAATTCCCCCATGGAAGCCAGTACATCATGCACTCTGTACAGTCTCCCATTGAAAGGAACAACAGAGGAATAGCTCTGAAATGCTTCATAACACGGAAAAGTCTGTTCTGCACTCAACTACACTTATTTGAGATTGCATGTAAAGAAATGGAGGAGACTGACCACTCTATTCTTAGTTTAAAAAAAAAAAAAAAAAAAACTATCTGTATGCTGTCCAGCTTGGCTCTCTGGTTAGTACACCTGCAGGATCCAGGAGTAACAAATCAGTAGGATATAAGGCAGTCTGCCCAACAGACAGTCCAGTGACTTATTGGACAGCCAAAGGCATCTCAATTCAAGACTGTTACAGCCTTTCTAGATCTTTAACAAATTATAGCTCCATTAGTAAAGTCATTTTGGAAAGTACTTCATGAAAGGTTTTTCTGTTTAATAAATATTTACTACTAAAACTAGGGAAGTATCTTTTTGAACTTGCTTTATACATTTTGAATACAACGTTAAGCCAAGATTTCAGGCCTTATTACCCCTTATCCCCCTCATTTCTTGTTATGTCATGAAGAATCAGCTACACAGAAGAGATGAGAACATCTTTGATTTAAATGACCAAGGCTTAAGATTGTCTTCACCGTGACAGAAAATAAAGCTGCTGCATATATTTCCAGCAGCATTATTGTTATATGGCATGACAATCATCATCTTTTTTTCTTTTCCTAAAAATATGTCTAAGGAACCACATGGTTTATACACTGCATTCAAAATATTTTTCTTCGTTTACATTGATCGCATATTTCAAATCATGTTACAGCTGAATTGCTTAGCCTAAATCAAATAAGGAATCCACATAAATGCATACGCACACTTTCCTTGTTTTTAGACATTGCTGATATTGACAAGATTAAAATATTTTTCTCATTCATTATTTATTGTGATACGATGAAACTGTAAGAGTATGTATTTAACAGAACATCACGAGTAGAGTTAAGATGGGGACATGCCATTTCATTTTGATTTTACCAAGGCTGCGCTAAGTACGTGGCTCCCTGACTACAATAATGACATCGTTAGGTGATAAAGATTTAAGATGCTTTGCAAGGATGCAGTGTTATCCAAACTCCTCAGCCACGTTGATCAGGAGCAGTATCAAATAGACGAACCTGCTATTCGTGGCTCAAGTCCCTTGTCTTGCAGGGAACTGAGGAATCTGTGCAAGAGCAGCAGCAAACTCACATTGCATCAGGTATGGAAGTGGAATGACCTGAAAGCCATCACACATACACAGCCCCAACAACACTCCATTTTACGGTGCAAAAAATGCACCCTCTGGATAGCTGTGCCTCTCCTGGCAGAACTGGTTCTACTGACCACTGGAGTTTGGGGTCAAGCAATGCTGTATCTGCTCGAACCTCAAGTACATGGTACGTGTACTTGAATTCAGTTTTTGAACACACATATCTTGGATAGAAAACAACAGACATTGCACTGCACGATCCCAGTTTCCAACTCACAGTTGGGCACCATTCTGCATGCTTCTGTTGGCACCAAATTAAGGAAACGCTGAACAGAGAGCACCACAGCAAAGGCACTGTAACAGAAAGTGGCACTGCTGGGCAGAGCAGCATCGACCTTGCCTCCTGAAGGATGTGGCACTATCTGAGTTAGAATACAGAAAAACATATTTTAGCCCAAATGCTTATTCTTGTGTACTGAAATTTAAATACATCCCCTATGATAAATATAGGAGAATAATCAGAAGGTACTGAATGCTTAAAATACACCCTTAACAAAACAATGTAATGCACATCTCTTTTTGCGTGTCAAACAATTTGCCTAACAAATCATAATAATGCAGAATGATATAAAATTCACCCATCAAGCCCAAACACATGCACAAAGATTACCATGGCAAAGAATTGTGAATTTCATTAAATATGTTAAAGGCAAAAAAAAAAAAAAAAAAAAAAACAGCTTTGAAAAATAGTAATCCTGTCTTTCAACAAAAATATTATAGGAAGCTATGAATTTGGTAGATCTGAATAGGATGTTGGTACATGTTTTACTAAGGTAATATAATGGCACACTATTATTAGATCACATTAATCATTACTGTGCCAAAGGCACTGACAGCACCACTGAAAAGGATTGAAAGGGCTGGTAATGGATATAAATTACCCATTGTGTGATAAAAGGATTTTTACTAAGAAGGTAAGAATAAAACAGCAAATTTCTAATATAACTGTTGTGTAAAAACCAAAATAAAAGTAATCCAGTCAGTAATATCCACAAAATCAGAAAGTAAGCACTTTTGAAACAAGATAAAGTCACAATAAAAACTGTATACAATATAAAATTAATTTTGTGGTGCATAATATTGCTATCAATTTAAATAGTTTACATGATGACCTCTATGGGGTATGGGCAAGAGAAAGGTAAGCTTTGTTAATCAGAATAAATTATGAGCTTCTGCGTGCGCATTTTAGGCTTGCGGGTTTGGAATCCTGTCTTTGGGTTTTGTGGTGTTTATTTTATTTCTTTAAAAACTGTAATGGCTTTGTGACACCTCCCTGAAATTTGAGACACACAGTTTTGTTTTCTGCACTAAATCACAACAAACAGGACATCTCTCAGATGGTTTTATTTGGATTCCAAACACTGTTGCAAAATGAACCACATCTTTGCTGAGCTATTTAACTATTTGATTGAAAACATTTGTATTACTAGTTGTCCAGTTCCGTGCTTCTCCTTTACTCTTTCAAGTATTTGCACAAATTAGTAGGGATCAGTGAAGTGAATTGGTCAGACTGAATTCTTATCTGCAGATTTAAAAATCCACATATCTTATCTGAAGCAGATGGAATTGTTCTAGAATCGAGTCACTGTAATTCCAGTTGAGTCAGTTGTCTAGAAAAAGATCCAGTAGCTCACATTCAATTAGCAAGTTTTAAAAATCGTGAGCTGTATTCTTAAATGATGTAAATTCCTAAGTACAGACATCAATCCTGAAAACACTTACATCCACGCTTAACTTTACTCACGTGAGTAATTCCATTAGCATTAGTAATTCAATACCTGCTTATGCATTTGCAGTACTGGAGCTTTAGTACGCCGGAATATCCTCTCACTTACATACACTATAAATCAGCACCATTCCTCGGAATCAGTTTCCACTGATTCACATGATATAAAAATGAGTGGACAATCCAGTACAACAGTTGTAATAAAGAAATAACATAAGAATTTGATTTAGAAGCAGCAGCTACCAGAAATTTTGATTTAAGAATCAATTAACGCATGTGGAATGTAGAATTAGTTACTGGTTATTTCCTAGGAAGGTAGGCTTTTCTTTCAAACTCGGGGCCAAATAACCCAATTCTGATTTCACACTGATTTCCACACCAATCTGGTTTCTCAGGCTTTACAGGAGCTCCTCTTCTATTGCTCAGAGGAAAATCATATATGTAATGTAGTACACCCCTCCACCCACTCATTTTCATGGGTGTTCTTCTCATGCTAATATACAACAGAAGACGGTTCTTAATAATATGCATGAGATATTCTATTGAACTTCTGGAAAAAAAACATGAAAAAGTGATAAAATGAATTTAATCACGAGTGTCATGGATGTTTTTATTTAAATCATCAGTCTGATGATAAAGTAATAAATGATGATTCATCCCTAATACAATTATTAGATATCAACTGTATAAGATGAATGCTCATGATTTTGCCAAGCAGATTTTTTTCTTCAAAAATCTATTTGTAGCTAATGACACCCAAACGAACTGCTATAAGGAGTGTTCCTAAAGACAGAAACATAGTATTTTTGAAGATGTAAAGAAAAAACCAAAACTACGCGAGAACAGATTTTAAAACCTGATTTAGGTACCTCATTTTAATGTACTTCTTAATACAGGAGAAAAAAAAACTAAAAATTCAGATGCAAAAGTAAAGAAAATGTTATGATAACAAATAAGCTTTCTTACCAGTTACTCTTAAAACAACGAATGTGTTCCCTGGCTGAGGAAATCCTTAAAAGACACAGGAAAGGTACTGAAGGTCGTAACTGTAAAAATAAAACCTGTTAGAAATTTACTATGTCAAAACTCGATGTTTGATTCAGACATTTATGCTAAAATATTACAATGCCACCTCAAGCTGACAATCTACAGAGCAGCAGAGAGTATTGAGAATCAGAATATTAATGGGATTAACACCTTTTATTTTTTAAGCCTTCATAATGTACTTGTTTGGTGGCCATTTCATTTTGGGAACTGAAAAGTTCTTTCAGTTCTGGATTGTTTTGAGAGGGAAAACCTCTCCTCAAGATAATACTAAGGAACAGAATGAAATTCTTCTGATCCTTTCCCCTAGACAGTGCAGCAAAAGAGGACAAAACAGGATAAAACAAAAGTTGCATAGCATACTCCAGAAACCCAGTTATTCTCTTTGACATTGATATTCTAATCTTTCGAAGGGAGTAAAAAGAGAACAGCTACTAACTGTATTTTTACTTTTTTTTTTAATTCCATTTTATAACAGAAATAAGTCCTTTGTAGATGATCTCATCTAATAAACCCCACTTAAAAGAGATAAGAGCCAGCAGTAAAAGCCAAGCCAGAATACTTCCAAGATATTTGCCAGCAGTGAATTTAGAGCCATTACATTAGTAAGCAAAAAAGAAACAAAAACAAAGGGCGTTCTTAGAGCAAAATAAAGTTCACTGGACTGAAGCTATAATCTGAAGAATTTATGACTGAGAATTCTAACTATGTTTGTTCCTATGTGCGTCTAACAAATGAAATTAAAGGTCATTTCCAAAGAATACACTTTGTACATCTACATCAACCAAACTATTCCATACAGCTGTCCCTGGCTCCGAGGCTGGAGTTCCAGCAGCGTAGCCACTGGGCTTCACCTCCTGCACACAGCTACTGGGGAGGTGCTGGCCCCACGGCCGAGCCCCCCATTGCTGCCTGCAGTCCTCAGTGCACACATCTGCATTTTCACCAGCTGCGGGAAGCGATTAAGAGCTTGGCCATTTATTGTGACTGGTTCGGCTCAGGCTGCACTGACAGCATCACACTGTTAGGCAATGCCATTTGTTGACTTGAAGGACAAACAACAACTCTGAGAGCTCCTGTCGAGGACTAAAGCAATATTAAATAGTTCTGCAAATTTGGAGTTCCCTGCTAAGCAATCGTGCACTAGTGCAACACTGAGAAAACACTTCCATGCATCTTTGCCCAGGCTACATTTAAAGCAAAACACATCCAAAATATCCTACTTTGTCCACGCCACCACCTCTTCTCACCCCTTGGTTTTCCTACTACACCAAGCCCACGCTATTTATTTCAACCTCAATGGTCTGCCACGATGTTGCCTGATTCCCTCTCCTTTCCCCTCACTTGCAGACTGAACCAGCCTTTATTACACTCTTTGAAATGTTTTCCGAGTGATAATTCTGCCACGTAACTCGCATAGGAGAATTACCCCAGTAAAGGCTTCAAGCCCCTCCTTTATAACTCACATTTCCACACTTAACTGCCAAAAATTCAACAGACATCTGGTTTGCCATCACCACTGTTTCTCATGCATAGGAACACATTTCTTTTTTGCTCTCTCCTCATGCCTGGTTTTCTCTTACAAACCAATTGCCTCTAGTTTTGCAGTTGAATTATAAGCCCTGAAAAGCAAAGGCCAGCTTCCCATTACACATCCAGCAGCACTGACCTCACTGGCCGCTGAGCAAGTGCAAACCCCAACTGCTGGGCACCCTGCTTATCAGGGGGCTCCCAGCTACAACAGAAGGCAGAGGGCAGCCAAGCCAAGCCCAAGGCACTGGCTGGAGGAAACGGTTAAGAAAACACCCTGTCATTAGATTTCCTTTTCCCAAATGCAAAATCCTATCTATACAGGATTAGAGTCCCATTTATACATGTGCATATCCTTTTAGGATTCAAATAAGTGAATTTTGGTTACAATATTTGGACACAGAACAAGCAAATTCCTGGGCTGCTATATATAAACACGGGTCCCATCCAACATCTTTCAAATGCACAGTGTCTAAAAACAGTGACAGCTTGTTTGTCTGGAATTTCTGCTGTTGTTGACATCTTAAAACCTTCAGATACACCTTTTTAGTGTTTACTTGCAGCTCAGTCAAAGTAAGAAAGCCAAGCAATAGAAACAAAGAAGATAATAAGCTGTTGGGTTTGGAAAAGATGTTATCTCACTAAACAGGTTCTTAGTACTCCTACGCCAACATCGTAAACTACATTTTTGCTATGCTATTACAAGGCTACTTGTGTTTTAAAAAATTCAGATTTTGCATACACGCTCATGACTTGCAAAATTCTAAGAATGATTCTCAAGGGGCTTTCACTAAGATGCTTTATAAATTCTGATGACAGACAGAACACAGTAAGGCTTCATCTCCTAAAGTCCTGTACTGATTTGTTTGGAGGCTTCATGTCATTGATCAGCATGTCAATGTCTCTCGCAATCTGCTTTCCAGTTCATGACTGTGAGTGAACCCCTCAGGTTTAAAACCTTAAATGATTTAAGGTCTGTGATACATAACCTTATGAACAAATTGGGAAAATCTGTAGCTTTACATATTAAACTGTAGCAGAAATGATTTAAAGCCTTATAAAAAGATATTTTACTTACCTGTGCTAATATTATTCTAACACATTTGACACTGACTATGTAAAGGAGATTTTAAAGGTACAGGCAGCAAGCTGCATGAAAACAAATTAAGACAGCTCCACTTAGGTCAAATTTGGCCAGTTTACTAGTGCCTAATACACTTGGTGGCATTAAACATGGCCTACAGATCAGTTTATCACAGTGACACCTCCCATCCTAACATTCCTACTGTCCTCATCCTTGCCCCACCTCTGCGCTAAGAAGGAGCCCTCAGAGAGCGGGGAGCAAAATAAAAGCACAGGCAAGGCACAATCAAGATAAAAGCACACCAGTTTTGTTCATTCTTTAGGAAACTTTCGTAGTTCATTACTTCAAATGAAGTACTAACAGTAAAAGGAGAAATCAGTCTCTCACCCATCAGTGAGTGGGGGGACTAGAAGGATTTCTGCAGGTTCAGGATGGAAATCTAACACACAGCAAGGGAAAACAGACACCTGAGAGCAGACTTACTGAGAATGATGGGCCACTTCCCTAAACAGTGGGACTGAGAAGGCTTCATCGTGAGGCTCTGACCACCGCATCCCATCTTGGTTACAGTCACAGACCAAACTCCCGCTAACCGCAAAGGGACACGGCTGAAACCCTCTGAAAACAAGGCATCCTTTTTGATGGAACACAGTGTCATATTTCAATAAGTATTCCTCAGCTACTTTGTGAGGGGCTCTTGAGGTGCTGCCACAGAGCTGCCCTGCCCGCAGCAGAGCAGAGTACAGGACAAGCCCTGTCAGCAGCCCCGTGGGATGACCTTCTGCAGACTACATGCGGGCCAGGAACAGCAGGTCCTTCCGGGTCCTTGTTGTGTCACTGAGAAAATCAGTATTTTTCACTGTTCCCTAAAAACACAATAGCACACCCATTCTTGCTGCAGACTGATTTCAACCTGTGCCCCCCGCGGCCTCCCAGCCACATGCAGGCTGCACTAGGGGTGGGCCTTCCTCGCCTGCTCCTAGCCACCTCCGGCACCCGTAGCTGTGCACAGTGCATAATTTAAGTTCACGGGTTTTGAAAATGAAAATCTCACCCCAGCAGGATTTACCCACGTCTCCTGGCAAATCTGCAGTGTTTGATCTAACATCCTTTCAGGAAAGCTCCTTTACATCACCAAGATCACCTGACAAACTACCGCTCTCATTTTCCCTCCTGACATAAGCAAGCAAAAGATAGCAAAGAAAACAGGACAGGGCTGGACATGATTTTAACTTCTGGGGAGCCAAGGGGCTTGCAAAAAAAAGATTTTAAATCAAAGAGACAACTCTTTTCAGCTCCTTAGGTTTCTCTACACACATTTGTGCTTCAAATATCCGAGTACGCGCTTCTTCCATGCAACCTCCACATCGCTCTGCTCTTTGACACTGACAGCACCACCAGGCTGCCCTGCTCAGGCCAGCCTCAGCTCTGCTGATCATTCTGACTCCAGCACACTGCTGACCCTATCCTTCGTGCTCCAGCTTGATTCAGAGAAGTCACCAGCGGGTTTCATGGCCATCAGACCAGGCCCCAGGCTGCAAGCTGGTACTCAACATGACTGCAAACAACATATGCACTGCTGTTGGCAAGCAGGGTCTCACTCTGAGCTGACACTTGCAGCTTGCAGAGAATTCGGACAGGGGTCCCCTAGAGCCGTACTGTGCCCAGGGCCACGGCACTGCCTGCTGCCAGCAGGAACTCCGCATGGCAGGGGCTGCGCCATCCTGCCCTAGTGGGGCATCAGGGGAAGGCCTGTGGGTCTTTACACAGTATTCTTCCCTTGGAAAGGTGTGGTGGAAAATGCCACAGGTAAGGCCAGCCAGCCACTTGAACACCGCTCAGACGTGTCCAGCTTACTTCCCACCGATGTGAAAGGTACCTTCTGTGGGAGGATAACTCACTACCTGCGCTTCCCTCCTGCGGGCAATCTGGATACACGGGATGAACAGGCATCTGTGGCAATCTGATCGAGTGAGTTGTGAGAAAATATTATGAATTTAAAGCAGTACAAAAAAAGGTTTCCATCACCTCCGTGCCTATACCATGACACATGCATCTTAATATATTACATAATAAAAAAGCCATGATGTTCCCAACCAATCAAATTACGCTACTGTCTCTTTAATAAACAAATCCATGTGCACATTAACAGTGTTGAAAATTCAATTTAAACTCTTTGTCTGTTGCTGCTTACTCTAAAGATGGTCTTTCTTAAACAACAGAGCACCAAGGAGTCGTTAGGGCTCTCTCTTCATTACTTCAAAAAACCAATCATTAGACACCAGAGTATATACGTAATTAGAAAATCACTTCCTTTGCAATCCAAGCTAAGTAGTTTACATACTGTAATTACAGGGACAAAATCAATTTTTAATCATTTCACTGATT